AAATATATATATACACTTTTTCAGAGAACTCACATGCAAGAACATGTGATTTTTTGCAAATGTTAGGCGTGCAGTGACTGCCTGCGAAGGCTTTCGAAGAATTTCACGCTTCTTTGACAAACCTAGGAGATAATAATTCATTTCCTAGTGAAGAGGTGTTAATTGTCCGAATTTGATGCGTATTAGTAACCAAGTAATATCAGTAACCTAATAACAGAATGATCTAAATCAACGAGAAAAATCAAAGTATTCACTTTATTTTTAAACCCATGATTATAACTCATTTACGTGAGGTTTTCACCGCAACTTTTACTGTCAACTGTTTGACAAGTGAATCTCATGAAGCCAATACCATAATTTCAAGTTGTAGAATGAAAGCTGTTTCAAATGGATATATCGGTAAAAAATTTGAGTTAGCATTATTAATGACTACTCAGTTGGTAAATGCGCATCACGAATCTTTAGATGATGGAGAATATTTCTAGCTCGTGAAAATGACTTTGAAGGTATTGTGTTCTGTGAGTTGGATGGTTTAGTCGTGAAGTTTTCATTGTCATTCTAGACAAAACCATTCGCACAAACTTTAGAAAAAAGTGAGCTACGGAGTTTTCTCTACAAGCGGGTCAGTAGCTTGTCCTGATGACCTTGTTTCATGTAGAAGCAACCAACCACACAAGCCACTTGTAAAAAAACCCTATAGCTCATTTCTTTCTCAAGTTTGTACCGGTGATGTTGTCTAGAATGACAACTAAAGCTTCACGATTGAGCCGTCCAGGTCAGAGAATACAACATCATGAACTAAATCTAAACAATTCATTAGAGTTTCATAATTCACCGGCAACAAATTTGCTAATAACAGTAAAGGCTTTGAATTCAATCTTTACATATTCGTATTGAATAACTTTCCCAACAAACGAAAAATACACATTTAAAAATGAAGTAATCTGTGGTTCCTACTAAACTTAGTTATTAGTCTTGTTGGAAACATTGAACCGATAAGGCCTGCTTCTTTTCCACCAAACACGTACTTTCTTCACCTCTATGGTTATATGATGGAGTTACTTGCATATAATTTTAAATTATTGATCGGGGCGCGCACTTTTAAATGCACGCTGACAGACTTCAGAAACTGTAATGCTGTCATTCATTCATATCCAAAATTTATGCAGAAATCAACCTACAATATCTTCTGCTGAAGCACGTGTTTCTATGTCTACTGGGTCATGCATCTGGATCGGTAAAGTATTTTCTGCAGAGTGAATGAAAATGAAGTTAATCCGATTAAAATTCACCTACAAAACTCAAAATAACGCTAAACAGTTTCATATCTTCCCTACTTACTCATTATCATTTCGTATACACAATCTTCCTTTCTCCTCATCTCTGCCTTTTCAACGTACTCTCATTCTTTCTCTTGATTTGTTAAATAGAAAACAATGAGGAAAATAGTTTACACATCAATGCACCTATTTGATGAATAGTTTTCCTTCTTATACAGCATTGACAAATAACTAAATAATAAACAGAGTTAATTGAATTATGCTTCGAACAATATCGTTCCTTTGATACAAATTTTATATAAATTCTGTTCTTGTTTTAATTGACATTGAAGGTTCCGATTAAAACTATTTTTCATTATTTCTTTATGACCACTAAATAGCAACTATCATATACCATTTGTAATGCTAAACAACATGAGTAGTTAGAAACTAATAAGGCTGATCTGATGATATCGTCAACCAGATCAAGGTAATCTAAACACCGGATGTGCGTGTTCCCCGTTTTGGAATCAACTTATCACTGGTGTAGGATTTCTCTGGAACATTGCCACATACATATCTTCGTTTAGGAGATGGTTTGTGAATGATTTTTTTCAAAGTAGCTTTCATCACAAATTAACTAGTTCACTGATTACTAATCGGTCCTAAACCCAGATAAAGAGGGAAGGTTGGCCATACGGATAGCAAACCTACACAGGAAAATTAATCCAATCACTAAAGAAACTTCAAAGCACAAAGAAATTATGAAACATAAAATTAAACTTATTCCTCACTGGAATCGGAGAGGCGAAATGAAGCCAGTTGGTGAAAGCTTTCAGGAAGCCAATTGGCCGATGTGTCTCCTCTCTCTCGATCAAAGCGAAAGTAAACGTGGCGACATGGAATATCCCAAGCAATGTTTGAAGCTGCCTGTCAAGGCTACTCAGATTGCAAACGAGATGAGAAGGTATCACACTGAAGTGTTAGGCTGTGAATCTGTGAAAGCAGATGGAATGGAAGTGAACTCTCCAAACTGTCAACTGGAGAGTCAATGATCTACTCCGACACTGTCACCCAGATGACAACCATGAGCACACTGAGTTTTGGAGTGGCTATCATGATGTCCCCTTGAAGAGCATTGAAGTCTGTCTCTCATACAGTGGGAACCAATCTCCTCCACAATCAGGAAAATGACAGCGAGATTCAACTCAAAAGGAAGGAAGGAAGATCACAATGATTCACTGCTATGCTGTGCACCTACAAATAATGCGGAGGAAGAGAAGGAGGAGGAATTCTACAGACAACTGCAATCAGTAATGGACAAGACCCTACCCCAGTTGGCGACATCAAAATTCTAATGGTTGAGATGACATGAATGCCAAACTGGGAGGGGACAACACAGGAAGAGAAAACTGATCATGGGTTGAGAAGCACTCGGTGAGGTGATGAATGAGAATGGAGAACTGTTTTTTCCAGAATTCAGTGCATTCAATGATTTAGTGATTGAAGACACTGTGTTCAAGCACAAGGATATCCACAAAGTGAGCCACATGGATTTCACCAGATGATACCAGACACACTAAAATCAGATCAATTTCATCTGGATGTGAAGAAAGTGGAGATGCAGCCTACTCGACACAAGGTCAGGGAGGGGAATAGATGTAAGTGTTAAGTGGTTCACACCACTCACTATCTAGTGCAAGCAACCTTCCAAATCAAGTTGGAAGCCGAAATCAGAGAAGTTGGTGATAGATGACCACAGTTGAAGTTGAACACCCAGAACAGAAAGTGAATTGAAGGACGAAATTACAAAGGACATTTTCATGTAAGTCAGTCATCTTGAAAAAATGGGAGACGTTAGGCAACATGCTTGAAGAAACCTGTGTGGATGAACACTGGAACTGTTTGGAAGCTATTTGGAAATAAACCTGCCTAACGGTATTAGGAAGGAAGAAGAAAGAAGATGAGGAATGTAGTGGATGTTGATGGACACATGGAAGCTGATTGAGCAGGGAGAGGAGGGTGGTGAAGCAGAAGATAAACGAGTGCAATGCAAGAATGAACGATGAGAAGAGAGACTGAGTACAATGTATAAAACACTACACTGGACAAGGAGGTGAAGAAGAGTGCACGGATGGACAAAAGACACTTCTACAACACAGTTGTAAGTGAAGCAGAACAGGCTGCTGGTAGGAGAGATCTGATAACATTGTATCAAATAAGCAGGTTACTCTGTGGGATGGGAGAGATCAACACAGATGAAACGAGTGGAAGATAGTGAAGGAAACCTAGTTAGCAAAGAGAGAGGATAAATCAGGGAAACGATGTGTTGACCACTTGAAGAAGCTCTTGAATCAACCACCAGCACCAGCACCACCACCACCTGCACTTCATCCAGAAACACCACCTGCAGCCCAGTCACAGAACTAGAAGTGAACACAAGCCCTCCGACGAAAGTGGAAGTCCTGAGTGCCATAAAGCTACTGAAGTGTGGGAAAGGGACAGGACCAGATAGAAACCAACAACAAGCTCTAATCACCATCAGTGAGAGAAACTTAAAGGAAGTAGTCTGGTTCACCTACCTAGGCACCACTGTCTCAACTACAGGCGACACACACACAGACACACACACAGACACAGACGAGGACGTCAAAGCCAGCCAGGATCGGAAAGACAACAAGACAGGCATTCACTAACCTGAAACCAGTGTGGAGATCTACTCCACTACACTCAACATGAAGCGTGAACAACATCCGGATTTTGAAGATCAATACCAGTCAAGTCAGTGCTTCCATTTGATGGTTGAGAGACTTGGCGCGTCACAAAGTGGATTTCCAATAAACTACAGACATTGATCAACAACTGCCTACACTGACTGTCTCGATACTGAAGATCAGGTGGCCAGAATGATAGGAATAAGCAAGAAGGAGCTCTGGTCTGACAACGAACCAACGAAGCAAGAAGCTATCGCTGAACAAATATGTAGAGGAAGGAAGTGGAGATGGATTGGACTGGGCATACACTGAGAAGGCTGACTGGGGACATCACGTAACAGGCTGGTCACTCGAGTGGAACCCATATGGGAATTGATGAGTTGGGTGTCGGATTTGAGGGTGACATGGAGGAGAGTGTGTGAGGAGGAAATGAGAGGTTGTGGGCTGTCGTGTAGGCAGGTTGAGAAGATTTCAGAGAACGGAGTGCACTGGAGACGTGCTACTGAAGCTGTATGTTCCATTAGCAACCCAAGGGACAAATAATGATAATATAATAATATTAACAATAGAGAGCTGTTGAAAAACCAAGAGTAGTAGACATATGTATTGTCCTGGTTTAGGAGTCTTCAACAGTTCGCAAGTGTGACTCAGAGTTGCACCGAAATGCAAAGTCTTAGAGTAAGCACTTTACAGTTCAGGAATTTAGTCTAAATCCAGTCTTTCCTGTTTTCTGTTTCTGTTAATTCAGATGCAGGGTCATCAGCTCAGCAACTGCGACAACTGACTTTCAATTCACTTTACCATATTCACTTAAAATAACCATGTTAATTTTCTTCCTAAAAACTTGTGTTTCCACCGTGGACCTACGAATATAGAAGAATATCACTGACCCGCACCTTATTTGTCTACTTTGATTTCATTTATACTATATAACACAAAAGGTTTTCTCAACTGCAGATAAATCTCAAAACCCTAAGTGAACTAGCCTGAAGATTTTTCCCTATAACTCTAAGTGTTGCTGGAACCACTAAGTAGTAGTAGTAGTAGTAGTAGTAGTAGTAGTAGTAGTAGTAGCAGTAGTAGTAGTAGTAGTAGTAGTAGTAGTAGTAGTAGTAGTAGTAGTAGTAGTAGTAGTAGCAGTAGCAGTAGCAGTAGCAGTAGTAGTAGTAGTAGTAGTAGTAGTAGCAGTAGTAGTAGTAGTAGTAGTAGTAGTAGTAGTAGTAGTAGTAGTAGTAGTAGTAGTAGTAGTAGTAGTAGTAGTAGTAGTAGTAGTAGTAGTAGTAGTAGTAGTAGTAGTAGTAGTAGTAGTAGTAGTAGTAGTAGTAGTAGTAGTAGTAGTAGTAGTAGTAGTAGTAGTAGTAGTAGTAGTAGTAGTAGTAGTAGTAGTAGTAGTAGTAGTAGTGGAAAAGGTTACGATAACATGGTGGAGTAGCATTATTTAACCTTTCACACACAACTCATTCTCCATAGTCAGAAAACGTTATTTAAAAATCTATTAGAGAGTTTTACCCTAAATTATTGCTTGAATTGTATTTAAATAATCACAGTAGTACTTTGTGCACAAAGGAAACCTACTACGTGATAACCAGTATCACTTCATTATTCGAAAGTCTATATGATTATTTTATAGAATTGTTGATGGAGAAAAACTGCATTCAGAATATCAGTCCACAAATTCCCACTAATTATTCTACAGCCTATGGCAAAATAAATGGGAATAGTTCAATCATTTTAGCAAAATCTGATCACCTGTATGCATTCTAAATGTGGAGACACAAATGCATTGTTTATGGAATACCTTTCATGAAGCTGTTACTAATCAAAGGGCGGTAAATTCAGTTCCCATTGCCATGATATCTGATATAATAAGCATTTTATTTTCCTATTTAAAAATTCATTTTGTAACTTAAAGGTGTAAGTTTTTGCTGCAGAGTTAGGTAGTGATTCACCCACCATCAGACTTGAGGGTTTGAGACTCGATCCCTTGCAGGTTCGTAGGTGCACACTGCTGAGGACTGCCATACTTGGGTGAAACATCTGTTTATTGCTTTCAGGTTTCAGTGATCCTCCAAATGATGTCAATACATGGTAAAAATTCTTCGAAAGTCAATAAATCTTTGCAAACTAACAATTCAATAAGGTTGTCTTTTGAGTATAATGGATGTTATGACGCGGGTTCGGATTATTATTATTATTATTATTATTATTATTATTATTATTAGTCCCTTGGGTTCCTAGTGGAACACAGGGCTTCAGTAGCACGCCTCCATTTCATCCTGTTCTCTGAGATCGTTTGAACCTGGTTCCACGACAGCCCACAAGCTCTCATTTCCTCCTCGCACGACCTCCTCCATGTCACCCTCGGACGTCCAACTCGTCGCTTCCCATGGGGATTCCACTCGAGCAACTGGCCTGACGCGTGATGTCCTCAGTCGGCCTTCTCAGTGCATGGCCAATCCATCTCCACTTCCTCCTGCATATTTGTTGAGTGATAGGTTCTTGGTTGTTTCGTTCCCAGAGTTCCTTGTTGCTTATTTTTTCTGGCCATCTGATCATCAGCAGCGAGCGTAAGAAGTTGTTGATGAATGTCTGTAGTTTATTGGAAATCCCTTTCGTGACGCGCCAAGTCTCTGAGCCATACAAGAGCACTGACTTGACGTTGGTGTTGAAAATCCGTATCTTGTTCCGCATGCTGAGTGCAGAAGATCTCCACACTGGTTTCAGGCTAATGAACGCCTGTCTTGCTTTTCCGATTCTGACTTTGACGTCCTCGTCCGTCCCGCCTGTAGTTGAAACAGTGCTTCCTAGATAAGTGAAGGAGGTTACTTCCTTCAAGTTTCTCCCGTTGATGGTGATTGGAGTTTGTTGTTGTTGTTGATGGTGGTGGTGCGGTATCTTCATCACTTCTGTCTTCTCTATATTCACCTGAAGTCCCGTCTTAGCTGCCTTTTCTATCAACTTGTTAGTTTTTGCCTGCAGATCTTCAAGTTTGTGTGACATTAGGCATAAGTCATCGGCGAAATCCAAGTCTTCTAGGTTCTTTTCCGTCGTCCAGTGTATCCCCCTTTTCTCGCTGCCTACTGTTTGCTGCATGATCCAGTCCACCACAATAAGGAATATCATGGGGGATAGTAGGCAACCTTGTTTCACTCCTGTCTTCACTTCAAAAGCATCACTGAGCTTCCCATTGTGAATTACTTGGCATGTGGCATCTTCATATAGTTGTTGAATGAGGCGGATAAAGGTTTGCGGTACTCCGTAGTATTGAAGCAGTTTCCAAATTACTTCTCGGTCGACGCTGTCAAAGGCCTTCTCAAAGTCGGTGAAGTTGAGGTAGAGAGCTGATTGCCATTCAATGCTCTGTTCTATGATGATACGAAGCGTTGCAATTTGGTCTGCACATGATTTGTACTTCCTGAAGCCTGCCTGTTCCGGTCGCAGTTTTGAATCCAGTGCGTCTTTAAGCCTCTCCAGGATGATGCGGCTTAATATTTTACTTGGGGTGGACAGGAGAGTGATTCCGCGCCAGTTCTTGCAAACACTGAGGTCTCCCTTCTTCGGCAGTTTGACGAGGTAACCCTTCTTCCAATCACAGCCTGGTACCTTCTCTTCCTTCCACACCTTCTGCAATAGTGGTGTGAGCATGTCCGCTGTTGTCTCTGCATCTGTTTTCAGTGCTTCTGGCGGTATTCCATCTGGTCCTGCTGCTTTACCGCATTTCAGTAGCTTTATGGCGTTCAGGACTTCCATTTTCGTTGGGGGATTAATGTTCACTTGTAGTTCAGCGGCTGCAGGTGGTATTTCTGGACGGAGTGCAGGTGGTGGTCGATTCAAGAGCTTCTTGAAGTGGTTGGCCCATCGTTTCCTCTGTTTCTCTTCTTTCGTAATTAAATTTCCTTCTTCATCTTTTATTGGTTTCATCTGTGTTGGTCTCTTCCCTGATAGCAACCTGGTTATTTGATACAATGTCGTCAGGTCTCTCTTACCTGCAGCCTGTTCTGCTTCACTTGCCGGTGTTTCGTAGAAGTGTCTTTTGTCGTTGCGTGCACTCTTCTTCACTTCTTTGTCCAGTGTTTTATACATTGTGCTCAGTTCCTCTTGTCGTTGAGCATCCTTGCACTGGTTTATCTTCTGCTTCACCATCCTCCTCTCCTCTATCAGCTTCCAGGTATCTGTCGAGATCCATTCCTTGTCTTCTTTCTTCTTCCTTCCTAATACTGTTGTGCAGGTTTCTTTCCACATAGTTTTCAAAGACTTCCAGTGTTCTTCCACACAGGTTTCTTCAGGGATGTCCCTCGATGTCTCCCATTTTGTCTTGATGGCTGCCTTGAAGATCTCCTTTGTAGTTTCATCCTTCAGTTTCCGAGTGTTGTACTTGAATTGAGGTCTATCACCAGCTTCCTTGAAGGCTTTTAACTTGATTTGGAAGGTTCCTTGCACTAGATAGTGGTCTGAACCTACATCTCCTCCTCTTCTTGACCTTGTGTTAAGTAGACTGCGTCTCCATTTTCTTGAGATTGAGATAAAGTCGATTTGATTTTTAGTGTGTCCATCTGGTGAATGGTGAAATCCATGTCGCTTTGTCGATATCTTTGTGCCTGAACACACTGCCTCCAATCACCAAATCGTTGAATGCGCAGAATTCTGCAAACAATTCTCCATTCTCATTCATTTCACCTAGCGCCTCTCGACCCATGGTTAGTTCTCTTCGTATGTTGTCCCCTCCCAGTTTGGCATTCATGTCGCCCATTAGAATTTTGATATCGCCAACTGACGTCTTGTCCAGTGTTGATTGAAGTTGTCTGTAGAATTCCTCCTTCTTCTCTTGCTCTGCATTATTTGTAGGTGCACAGCGTAGCAGTGAATCATTGTGACTTTCCTTCCTTTTGAGTTGAATCTCGCTGTCGTGATCCTGGAGGAGATTGGTTCCCACTGCATGAGAGCCTTCGATGCTCTTGAGGACATCATGATAGCCACTCCCTCAGTGTGCTCGTGGTTGGCGTCTGGGTGACAATATGGAGTAGATTATTGATTCTCCAGTTGACAGTTTGGAGAGGTCACTCCCATTCCATCTGCTTTCGTAAATCCCAAGCACTTCAATGTGATACCTTCTCATCTCCTTTGCAATCTGGGCTGCCTTACTGGGTTCAAACATCGTGCGGACATTCCATGTCCCCACGTTTACTTTCGCTTTCATCGAGAGAAGACACATCGGCCAATTGGCTTCCCGAAGTCAGGCTTTCACCAACTGGCGTCATTTCGCCTCTCCGATTCCAGCGGGGAATAAGTTTGTTTTCATTTTTTATATTTTGTTTGTGCTTTGAAGTTTGTTTAGCGGTTAGATTTGTTTTACGGGGTAGGGTTGCTAGCCCTATGCCCAACCTTCCCTCTTTACCCGGGCTTAGGACCGGCTAGTAACTAGTAAACTAGTTAACCAGGCGAGGTTGCGGGTTCGGATAGCATAGGGGATATCAGTTCCTTACGGGCTGCAGATATACTTTGCTGACGAGTGCCAACATACATGAAACCTAGGTCCTGGACTTCCCAGCCTGAACTCTTAGTGGTGACTACATAGTTCATTAAGATGCAGGTACGTTCAGCAGACGAGCCCCAAATGGGACAAAACATGTGTCATAGATTACCCTACTAGTCACCATTCATCATTAATGTCAAAGTTGAAAACACCAGCATTATTGAGGCATTCATACAACAGCCTCTGTACCAATAGTACCCAATTAGTTCGGTTCAATCAACAATGGAGATGCACAAACTATGGAAGAAAGGAAGAAGTTTATATCATAATGATATTTAATATAACCTGACCACTTTTACCGTCTCCTGATATCAGCCCAGTAGGTCAATGCAACCATAGTTCGGATATTACATAAATAACCACCACTCAACTATATTCCAGTCAGTTAGATATCTTCAGAATCCCAACATTTTTCAGATAGCAACCATTCTAAGTAATGATTTCTCATAAGAAATTTTAGCATACATCTTTACCGAAATCAAAGGTCAATAAACAACCTTAGATAATATTACTAGAATATATTCATCATGCAATTATTGGTATTAAATGAGTGAATTCATCAGTTATTTTTTTTTCTTCTACTAACTGTTGACATAAACAAAGTAGCGTGATATCAGATTATAAAGAGAAGTGGAAAACATTCATATTCAACATCTATGTACCTTAAAATATGCACCGTGGAAAGAAGAAAGTAGAAGAATAACATCCTTGACGATCCCACTTTTCATCTCTTTTTTCTAGTGTTTATCTCCTCCTAAAATAATCTTGGTTATAAACATTTTTATAAATAGTGAATTAAATCACAAAGATTCAGTTACGGAGCTTATATAGTGATATTCTATCAATGCGAACGCCATGTTTCTTGAAATTCTGGAATTCTTACAGTTGGTTTAAACCGTAAG